CGTCGGCAGAAGAAGCTCCTAGTTATAAGGTCCATCTTTGACACAAGTCGTACGAGAGCTGGGCACACAGTGTGGCCGCGGCAAGCGCTGTTCAAATACATCCAGCGCCGGTCGCTTTCCAATTAAGTTCAGAAACTGTTTGTGTTCAGTTCAGGTATCATACCTGAATGCCTTTGACGTTCTCTCTCATATTAGTCCGGTACTGTTTAATGTGTAACTTGCTTTAGTAATTTACGTGGGGGAGTTTCGGACGTTTAATTAGCTAATGTTTCCAATTCCTGTCGCATTGATTTGTCGTCATGAGATATCGATCAGTATCGTATTTCATGTCAGTGTAATAAGATATGAAGTACTAGCTATAGCCCGCAACTCCGTTGGCGCGCAATTAAAAACACTTAATTAGTAACCTATGAGTTCTTTTAGGCTATGTTCTACATCTATGCCAAATTACAGCTGGATCCATTCAGCTGTTCCAGAGATACCTTCAAATAAACATCCATCCATGCATCCATCAAAAACATTCGCATTTATAAAATTAGTAAGATATAGGACTTCGAAAATAAAATAACTGTGAATAATTATACTAATTACTTGGTTAATTTTATAAAATGTACTAAAGTATTAACAACATATATCGTGTAATCTTCTAAATGTCAGATAACTTTACTTTTAAGGAAATTGTGAACGCGAATTTCTGAAATTGAGACAATTCGATTCCTAAGTGAGGGGAGTACCATTTTACCTTAACGAAGGCTACGTGTCGTCCGCTAGTTGGAAAATTTATATATCAAACGTTGTCTGCGTTTCAAAAAATAGAAGAGAACGGAAAGGGCTCTTAAAAGTTATTTAAATTGCGCGACAATTTTCTTCAGTCATAACGTTAAGTGGCGGAGGCGTTGAAATTCCGCTAAATGAGGTTTTAAGCCTTCGTCCCATGGAAGGGATTCACAAAACAGATTTGATGCAGACGGCCCGTCGGCGCACACAATGCCACTGATCCCTCCCTGCCTTCTCCCCGACAACGCCTAAATTATTACATTGTTCTATGACTGTGCAGCGGTTTATGACACTCGAAACGAGTGAGCTTTGTCTATTGTACTATGTACTGTCATTGTTTACTTATTTTACAAATAGCTTTCTAAAGATAATTTAGGATTACTTTGATGGATGATATCTTTATCGCTTTGAATTGTTTAACGTCTTTTAATCTCCATATGACATGAGTAAAGAGTTTAACAATACCGCTGTTAAGATTTTAATTTGTATTCTACAATGTTTAAGGAACGTCAACTAGCAACATGAAATAGCAGTTGTTTTTGAAATTTAATTAAGTTATAGGGTGATTAATAAACTATATTTTTGTCTGTATGTGCTTTAAATCTCGCGTACTAATCATAAGTTTCATTTATTACTAAGCCACGAACGCTTCGTATTATATGACTGTTGAAAGGAATTCACAAGAGCCGGAGCTGACAACTGATTCTCATTTACCCATTGTTGTAACACTTCAACAATGTTTGCAGGCGCGATGACCCATTTGTGTCCGTGATGAAAAATATGAAAGTTTTCTCGGCTTATTATCATTGTAAGTTTATTACTCTATGAATATACCATGAGTTTGATTCAACGCACCAAGTTTCTATAGAGTACTACTGATTAGATGTTGATGGAAGATTTTTATTAGGAAAATAGACTTTTTCACAGACTAAGCTCCAGTTTTTGCCATCTGTATTTTATATAATTTTGTTTTGTGGTTAAAAAAGTAAAATGTATAATGATATTAGCTTTAGAATACATTAGCCTTGTTAAACAAACATCATAAAGCAGCTTAAGGGACTGTGTAAACCAAGATTATAATTTCTACCTTTGTTTATTGCCGACGCCAGAGGACATTTTACGTTTAACGAATTATTCGCCATTGTTTGACTTATCGGACCGGTTTGCGTAATGAATTACGCGTGTCTGAGTAATTTTTAGGGTTCCGTACCTCATAGGAAAAAAACGGAACCCTTATAGGATCACTTTGTTGTCCGTCCGTCCGTCTGTTAAGACCCTTTTTCTCAAAAACGCGTGAAGGTATCACGCTGGACTTTGTTTTTTTTTATTTTGAGAACTGTGCATGTGAAAAGATTAAGGTAAATTATCGTGTATGGAGTAAGTAAATTAAAAATGTATTCTACAACAAAAACATGATATACAGCGTGTTTCAAATAATAATGCATGCCTTAAAAAATTACGAAATAGTTATCGTTATTTGTTTCGCTGATCCTACATATGTATGTATGTTTATGACGTCACAATAAGGCATGTACATTCTTATTTGAAGCGAATTGTAGTCTTACGTACATAACTGTTATGTGCATATAGAAGACAGTAGTTCCAGTAAAAGTTTTCGAAGAAGTCCGAGTTTAGCATAATGTGAAACGCTTAGTCATTCTTACGTTATCTCGCGAAATATATTTCGCCGCTACCCCACGTATTAATCAAGCAGTAGTTTTAGTTGGGCGAGAGAAACGTGTTACTGGCTGCTTGATAACGCCTCAATGGATAGAATTCAATATTTCATTTTAACTTTCCTCATTGTTTACACTATACTTATACAAACAACTTTAACTATTTATATTTGGTTTCTGAGACCAACATTTCTGTATGAAATACATCGTCGTTCCAAGGGAGATACAAACAGAGAGATCAAGATACAACAGAGATAACAATCTGTTTTACACGGGGCTTTTAGCGTCAGAAACCCACGGTTACAAATGTAATAAATAAGTTTTGGATATTAACAATAGTGAAATTATAAAACATTAAACCAAGCTAAAAATTATTAATAAAACATTGCAAATATTGTAGATACAATTGACAATGAGTACGTAGAATAAATGTTCAAAAACATAATGTAATTTGTTGTTTATGTCTATTATACATGATTGTAACTTATATAAGTTATGTAAAAATATATCAGGTAAGTTTTAAAAAGTTTATAACCGAATTGAACTCGTATTAAACTGATACTGGCATTAGTAGTTGTCAGTTAAATCCCGAATAAAGTCACAACAAAACTTAAAAGAATAAAGCGGCAAGGGCGGTCGAGTTGCTATGAAACAAACATAAGTCAGTTATCTTTAGGGCCGGAGCGCTGGGGAAGTTTGACAAAGCATTTATTGTCGGTGAAGACGTCGCGAGGAATCCTCGGGGCGGTCCCGGCCGCATGATAACGACTTCTAAAGTCGACTGACATTTGCCATTTAAAAATACCACATGTAAAATATATTACATTTGTTCAGCAAAATATTTTTAGAAGTTATTTTAAAATATTACAATAAATTAGTTTTTTTACAATAAATAAAAAAATATAATAATTTTCATTTATACCTTTAAGTAGGGTTGAGGATAGGCCGGTGGGCCGTAAGAATTAAACTAAAACATTAAGTGACAACCCTACGTGGATGCGATAAGGCCAGGGAGCCAATGACAATAATTTTATTCATTTCTGCTAGCGACCAAATATATAACTTCAAGGCAATAAATACAAGACACTTTTTTTTACTGCAACTTCAAATCACGTAATGCATCAGAAGAGATTTTTGGTAAATTTAATAATTCAAAGTTTATTTTTCTTTTTTATTTAACCTTTAAGCTTTATGATTTATATGAACACAGTAAAAAAGCACATTATATAAAACCCTTTTCATTATGAAGGGTCTTGACGCTTGTATTGAGAGGTAATCCAAGTAGCGTAATAAAGGAGCACTTTTTCGCAAATCTTCAGATAAGGGAAGGTGAGCGCGATATATCAAGAGATTAGTCGTTTGCCGCCGCTCTGAGCACGGCGTTGAATGTAAAGTGGAACATCTAGTGATGTACACATACGATTACAATTTAATTTTTTATTTTGTTTTTAATTAAAATTATTTTATCGTAAAGATCTAAAAGCAATAAAGTACTTAGCATTCTAAAGATTGCGACCTTGTCTTTTTATTATAAGATAATAAAAAAAACAAGAACAATAATAACTAAGGACATGTATTTGCGAAATAACAAATAGACTATTTATTTGAAAGGAAATTCTTGCGATATTTCAATTATATTCTTTTAAATTTAAAGACAAAAAAACAGAATTTATTTTAATAACAGGATAGAAGTAACTTATATGCTAAAATGGTATGCATTCAGTCAAAATTCATTGATAATTATTTCACATATCGAAGTATATGGCACATCACTAGTAGTACATAAGGGTCTCCATAAGTTAACAGCTAGCCGTGGAGCCTATCATATATCAGGTCTACGGTTGACATATTTCGCCGTCATGTATGTACGCTTTGCATACATAAGTGTTGTCGGAACAACCCTACAGCTCCCTGCTTTTGGATTATCTTTTCGATAAGGTGACATGTTTAATTTTATTCCTTCATAATTTTCAACGACATAAAATAATGATAGCAGTCATATAAGGCTTACGAAGAGTGAGGTCAGAATTCTATTAGAGAATTTCTTCATCGGTGAGAAAAATATTAATTAGAGAAGAAATAAAACTTATGTTTTCTTAAATAAATGTATAATAGTATATAAAACATAAAATATCATTGTATATAAAAAAATACTAGTAGTCAACCGCGACTCTGTCCGCGCGTAATTGAAAAAAAAAATAATTAGTAGCCTTTTAATTCTTTTAAACTATGTCTTACATCTATGCCTAATTTCAGCGAGATCTCTGCGGCCGTTCTGGAAACGCCTTCTAATAAACGTCCATCTATCAATCCAAATATTAGCCAAATAGTAAGATTAAGCTATAAATTCACTGAGTTATAGAATGTACAGTGAATGCATCTGTAATTAGAAGTAGATAACAAATCTATTTAAACTTTTTGCTCGCGTGCATCGACATAAATCACTTCCACCTGTAAATCACCTATATACAGAATAAGCTCAAACGAGCTGAATTGAACTTTATCCAGTTACAACAGAGTTTACATTAGAGTGGTATGATTTTACAGGTATTACCTCCGATGCATGCTGCACGCCTGATCCGGCGTCACATCGGCGCTTGTAACTCAGGCTGGCTTAATTAGAAAGTCAGCGTTCGTTGCATTCCTTCTTGAAGAGTACGTATTTTACCTTTCTATATTCTTTAGTTATTGGAGTAAATAAATTATTAAAACCGAGATATTATTAATCTATGTATTTTATAATAATACACAAGTACCTTTCAAGTACCTTATTAAGTTTATTATATTTAACTTTTGATTTAAGTGCTATGGACAGAATTAGCAGTGTAAATAAATACACGCAAAAATTAAGAAACCCTAGGCAACGAACGAATTTGCAGTAGCTGATTCTGATGAGAAAGCATATCCTAGTCTAGGATTTTTGTTTATGGGAAATTGAAACATATTTTTTTTAAAGATTCAAGTTTATGCCGACTAGTGAAAACGTTTTTGATGTAAGTTACATTGTTGTAAATGTTGTTTCAAACGCGATAACAATAAAAATACCGTTTCAATTGATCCCATTTGGTTTACAAATATGACAGGGTTCGAGTTCGGAACAATCTGATAAAAGCAAAATGTCTTCCTCACGCCTTAAGCATTTTAGATTGTGGATATGAAACTTTAACCTTCAATTCCAACATAGAACTTATAATTATTACAAATAATACAGTCATATTTATTTTGTAATAGAATTTTAACATCAACAAACTTTTATAAAACATAATTTTAATTATTTTATGCTGTAACATTAAAAGCGGTTTTAAACTTAATTTACTAGATTTATTTTTATAAAATGTGCTTTGACATAGATTTAGTTTTATTGTATTACTATGTTGCCCGTGACTTTATCCGCGTGGAATTAAAAATAACTTAAATAGCAGTCTATGTTCTTTCACATTACGTTCTTCATCTACGTCAAATTTCAGCGAGATCTATCTAGCTGTTCTGAAGATACTTTGTAACAAACACCCATCCATCCATTAAATTATTAGTAAGATGTAAAAAAATCACAGTATCCATTAGTGCACCTAACAAAATCAACATGAATCACAACCTGTACACTGTTTGTTCACTGAACACGGCATAGGCTCGCATATTTACACAGATTATTCACTTTACTGCACCCAAATGAAAGTACATGTACCTATCAGACTTCTTTTTTCCCGTTTTAATACGTCTGCTTCCCTCGATAAATTGCGACCTCTGTTGGGGGATGTAACTGCGAATGTTTATGTTTGTGATTCCGTCACTGCCTACGCCGTAGTCGGGTTGCTACGCCCTCCGTAGTGCAGTGTTGTCTTGTTAATTATGAACAAGACAACACTGCACAAGTTCTTAATTGAGATAGTGTATATTGTAATAAAATCTTTCACACTTAAAATGGTCTTCATTGATGACTCAAAGTGGTGTACAGGTATGATAGGCTTCCTTCTTGATGGAAATAATCCTTTGATTCTATGAACATCAGTTTCTTAGAATTTCATATTGAAATTAAATTTACATTTACATATTATTGTAGAACTATAAGCAAATACTTAAAGCTTCTGTTTGCATCTTTAAAATATACATTAAGTAAGTAAATAAATATGTAAGTGTGCCTTAAAGCAAAGCTATTATACAAAAATGTCGTGAAAAAAATGAGCCGAGCAAAGCTTACTTTTAACAGCCTGTAATAACTGACAGCCTTCAACGATGAAATTTACGAACGTCAGGTGTAGCCGAGGCTAAGAATCAGAAAAGGCTATAAAAACAACAATCCGGAGGCCAATCGATGACGGGAGGCTTTCCCGGATGTCTCCTAAATTCTTAATACCTCACGTAACTCTCGAGATTAGGGGAGGGAAAACTGCACTTAACTTTTATTGTCGAAGCCTTGAGTCTGCCGAGACGAGCTCCTCGATCGATGTTGTTGTGAAACTTATATTGTTTGTTTAAATTAGATTGTTGTTAAAAGTTGCAGATGTAGAATTAAAAACTTAAAGTTACAAATATATCGGCAAATTAATTGAACCGATTTTTATATCATATATTTTGTACCTTACCTTATAATAACTAGTCTAATCTTCATCGAATGATTAAAGAAGAGTTAATTTTAAGTTCTTTAATTCTATAGAATAATTTCCTTAATTGAATCAATGACTTTAGTTAAAGTATTATTCCTCTACGTGTAAGTGAAATGCAAAACAATTCCTTCGCATTTATACTTTCACTAGTCAAGTTTAATCACGTACGACATAAACTTGACAGAGCTTATAGATATTCATAACTCCAACATATGCATAAGTCTGCTTATAAGTTAACAATTTGAACATTAATTATCTCGCATGCGTCTCGTTCGCCAGTATTTAATCCCATTCAAGGGTTGCGAGGCAAGAGTGGGAGTAACTAAGCCGATTACAATATTCGACTGAGTTCCGTAGCGCGACTTGTTAGCAAGGCTACATTCAAGTTTGTCTTGTTATAACTCGCCAACTCCGTGGCTTAAGTATGACATACCCGACTACAAACTGGAAAGGCTTTAAACTCTGTATTCGATTTTATATACTCTATGAGCTCGTAGGTAAACGAGGGACGTATGCAGACACCGAAATTTGAAGTACATACTCGTAGGTAGTCTCCAAGACTGTGTGCTTACACTGTCTCGGATTTGTGCGATATGTTGACAAACTATTGGAATAGTTCATTTAGTCTGTTATTTATACAAGATACGAAGTTAAGTGTACGCTACTATTTATTTTTGATATTAGAAGTGTTGCATTCTGGTGAGGATTTTTCCTTTTTAGTTGATTTGTAATTTTCAACGGAATAATTTCTGTTCTGTTTCTTGTTTATGGCTCTCCCTCGGCGGATTGGGACAATGTCAAGTGTTTATGGTTCTGTTTAAACTTGTTAGATACTGGCAACACTACTCTGCTTGTAGAGAAGTCTTGTGAATAAACATGTGAACCAAAGATTAAAACTTTTGAATTACCTGAAACTGTTGATTTACCTAAAAAGACAGACACAAACATTTAAATATTGTTAGTAGGTTATAAGACGTACAACTTAGAGTCTAATATTATTAGTGTTAATATAGTCAAATAAAATATTAATAAACGAAGAATTTACAAAAGTTAATTGAGTCTTAAAGTTAGTGGGACGAAGGATGGAATTGGGAAGTATATCCAATTATGATGAAGTCTTTTTGGGACAAGTAAAAAAAATAAACGGAATAAGTTACAAAATGCATTAATTGAAGCTCTATGAAGGTAGATTGTAGTACTAACTAGTAGAATGAAATAATATATTTGTTATTCCTCCATACATTTATTCATTTCGGTTATCTGCAAAGGTTGTACATCTTCCCATTTTAAAGTATTTCTGCGAAAAAAAAAGTATTAAAACCAAGTCAAACAAACTGAAAGCATGATCCAATTTCACTTGTACGTAGGAAAAAGAGATACTAACGTTGTTATTTGACAAAAATTCTCATATAGCAATATTCTAGTCACATATTTGCGAAGCTATAAGAATATAACATGGCTGAAGTAAAATTTTGTTTATGCGATAAAATTTTCCCGGGAAGGTAAATGAAGAACACTACAAAAAACGTACGTGCTAACACAATTCCGGTACCCGCGTCACGCTTACATTGGATTTGCTTAACAAGATTAGAGAGGCGAAAAATGTCAGACAATGTACCCGAATTAACACTGACTACGAATGTAGGACAAACGATGTTATGAGGCTTCAAATTGATCATATACGTATGTAAAGAGCGTCGGTGATTCAGGAAATAACTGACTTGCAATCTGTAGGTCCAAGGTTCGAATCCAGCCATGTATTAAAGTGTTTTGCGATTTACATATGTACATTTATCCGACGTTTAAACGGTGAAGAAAAACGTCGTGATGCAATCTGCACATATCTGAGAAGAAATTAATATATGTGTGAAGTCAACCAACCCGCACTTGGCCAGCGTGGTTGACTATGGTCTGGTCATCCCTAACTTAGATTAGACTCTGAACCCCTCAGTGGGGACGTATAGTGAGCTGATGATGATATATTAACGTGTTGTAGGTTAAGTATTATTTTAATTTATTATTTTATCCAATTATCCTGTACTTTCAATAATTATAAGCACCCAACATAATTGGCCTGCAATACAAGAGTTTTACAATGTACAAATAATGATTCTATAAATCATTTTTTCGAGGATTACCTCATCATCTCACGAATTAAGATAAACTCAAATACCTTAATTTTGAATCTATATTAAATGCATACATTTTAATATAAAGTAGTCTAATTACAGTCACGGTTTTGAGTAATCTCAGTAGTGAAATTCAATATCAGATATTTGACGTGTAGGCGTTTTAATGTGTAAAGCAGGATTACAGTAGTAACTTTTACCTAAAAGGATTTTAATCCATTCACGGTAAAAGGTTTTATAGTGATTCTGAAAGTTACATTATTTGTTTAAAGTGTTGTGGCGTTTGACTTTTATAAAATTTCACTACATATTATTTTCGAATAAAGCACAAGCAGAATATCATAATTAAAATAAAGTAAAATTAGATTATGTAATTTTTTTTCTAATGCATCACATTTTGTAAGCATTTTTGACAACACAAATTTTGGTTTCACTGCAAATTATCGCTTAAACATTATGTATATTTAAAAATATTACTAATATTAAAAATGCGTATGTTCAGATGTATGGATGGATTTTTTGAAGGTATCTTCAGAACCGCTGCATGGATACCGGTGAAATATGGTATAGATGTAGAAGAATAGATGTAGTGTCTGGAAGAATACATAGGCTACAAGTTAATTCCGCGATCGGAGTAGGCTATAACGACGGCTAGTATGTAGATATAATATTTACCGTTGGTTGTAGTTAACCAAGCCACACGAGTAAGAACACAGGTCCACGTTAATTAAAACAAACATTGAATATTCCCCATTTTATCGCGTAATCATTAAGCCCTTTACAACCCATTATTGGGTTCAATCCAAAGGATATTTGAAATAATAATTTGCACCTATAAATTTTATTTATGAATATTTAAAATTTCAAAATATATCTGATATCAGTGACCTAGGCGACTGTTTTATCCTTTTTGTTCCAGTCTATTCGACTGGTAGAGAATGTATATAGACATTAAGTTCTCTAATTGTGTATGAAATTAAGTTTTTAAAAATACATAAAACAGTATAAGGAATGATTTAACAATGTCGCTAATACCATAATTAAACCACAGCTTTTATTTTCCTGTTCAATAGCTTTTTAAATTCAACTTAAAGTACCGATGAATGCAAACGCACACGCGGCTTCTAAACGTATTGACAATTGCACAGAAAGGATTATCTATAATGAATGATGCCCGTATGTTCACTTCCTTTGATGTGAGCTCCCATCCAACCAATGTTTGTCTCAAAGCTGTATTTAATTGCTAGCTCGTTATTTTTGGATTATTTAAACAGTGGAATCGTTTCTATCAGTGACCGGTCCGCCCCAAGGGGACCGGTTCAATTTCGATCATCAAACAGATTTTTCGTTTATGCAACTGTTGTTAATTGCCGTTAAACGATACTCATTCACATGTACACATGCCAGCATAAATATAAAAAAACTCTTTGAAATGTGTATTGGATTTTTTCATTAATAATTTTCATTACATAGTAGCGTCAAATATGTATTATATAATAGAATTGGTGTTAATAGTAACAAGATTAGACGAGATTTTCGTTATCTTAAATAGTCTCACTTTGGAGTGAAAAAATGTTTTATTGCATTTTTTTTAGGATTTATACGTAGTAAAAGGTTTAAAATCGAGTTTAAACTACTGTAGCCACAAAGTTTACCAATCCGTCGCTCGGTAACTGGCAGAGCAATTACTTGCTTAGACACTTTTAAATTCCACCAACATTCGGGAAATGGAAACGTCAAACGAGATCTGGAGCGAGGTACTACTGGCTACACCGTAACTTCTGTTTCACAGTTCAAATCAACCAGAACTTTATATAGGTCTTATTATACGTCTTTTTTCACTTTCATCTTTATTGTCTCTTCTATTTTTTATGTTAGCATTGTGACCTTGACTAATTTCAAGATGTGAATTTGATTTTGATTTAAATTCTGTCTTGGTTATAAATGTAGTTGATATTTTTTTGTTAAATATAAATAATACTGTTTAATTTGTAGAAGAGTCATATTTTGCTTGGTATGTTTATTTTCACTAATAAAAAAATTGAAGATGAAAAAAATATGTCAAGTATATATGGATGAATGCCGACGTAATAGAAAGAGCTCTCTGATTTTTATTCGATTTAAAACTTTTTGTTTATATGACTAAATAGTTGTATCATAAGCGTGATTTTTCATTTAGAAAAAAAATTCAAACTGTCCGGAATAAATCGGTAGGTCCTTTGCAATATTTATGATTTGTAGGGCTCCTGTCGTATCTCGGCTCTTCCACGCACTTCCACAACATTGAGCTGCTATAACTAAACGCAAAGGGTACATTAACGATATCAAAATAAAAGATTTCACTGGAAATTTCCAGAAGCCCTTTTAGGGCTACTGAATTTTAAAATGGCATTTTATTTCTACAAATCTTTATAAATCAGAACATTATTTATTTAATTTAAAAAAATAATAATAAACGAGAGAATTTACAGTATTTTAGTTTCGCAAACTCATTGAAAAAAATTAATTTACTTTTATGAGATGATTATATATATTACCCTACTTTAGTCAATATTATGGAGTTAAATGTGAACTTAATTAGATCCTACAACAATGGTTGAATCACATTGATCTTCAGTCAAGCGTAGAACCAATTGTGGTGGAATTTCAGATCACCTCTTCAAATCAATTGAGAATTACTTATATGTTCCTAGTTGAAATTAATAGCAATACTTTAAATTTACAGAAATGCAAAAAAGTTTCTCCTGTCACAATGTGGCGTGGCGCGGATGAAGTCGCGGACGATAGCTAGTACGTTATAATATGTTGGTAGAAACGTTAGGTACAAATTTCAAACTCATCAATGTATGTTCTTGATTTGGATATAAGATAATACTATTTATTCCATCTGCATAATCTCCAGAGGTTAAGAGATATTCAGTACGCCGTACCAAAGTGTCTATCTCACTAATACCTGTACCTGGAAGCTAATCAACACATGTTAGTTACTCCAGCCACGTACGCATCCGCCGAGGTTAACGATGTTCCGGCTACACGATGTAATGCAGTAACTGGACATAACTTTTATCGCTTACGATTTTGTCTTTATGAAACATGAAGGTACAATGGTGGTTATAAGCAAGCTACGTAGATTATAATCGTTTTATGTTTGCTTTATACATTTACTTGCAGGAATGACATAAATTTTCTATAGTTAATATGTGTCACGTATTGATTATCGTTGGTAGAGATAGTCTGTGGCTCAGGGGTTATGCACTTGACTTGCAATCTACAGGTACTGTGTTCTATTCGGGAGACTCTCGCCTCGCCATGTAGTAATATGTTTTTCGATTTACATATGTACATTTTACGGCAAAGGAAGACATAGTTATGCAATCTGCACACAGCGAAGAGATTTAAAAGATATGTGGGAAGACAAACAACCGCACTAGGCCAACGTGGTAGACTATGGCCTAATTACTTCTTACTTAAACGATGCTGTTCTATGGGCAAGTTAAAAGTCAATAGATTCAATATTTAACGACATACATATTTTTATGAGTTCTAACATGAACACTTGCAAAGACCGTCGTTTTCAGGACATTGTGGCTTACAGCTAGATTTAAATCTGAATAACATTTTACAGTCTCTTAAATGCTATAATAATTCACGTTATAAATTAGTTTTAAGATTATTTTTCTCTTTTAATATAAGGATGTCACTCAACAAAGTGTTCGATTATTTTTGAGTGGCGTTTAGTATGTGAAGTAGAACGTCACTTGACAATGTTTGCGTTTCATTATGTTGCAGCGAGGCAGTGAGGGCAGTCTCATTCCGGCGTTACGAGTGTTGCGATCAGGTGTACCGGTTACTTAGCGACTGTTTACCCACCGGGCGCGCCCCGGGTCACTACACCGAATTGTGAGGGGTGCAATGGACACTACAATCAGTGGAGTCGTATTATTATTTTTAAATTCTTTACCGAAATAATTTTGTTATTCTATATGACTTTATATGCTCTATAAGAGACGAAGTTATCAGACTTACGTTTGCAGAGCACTGAAAATACTTAGGTTATAAATAATGACCACAAGAAATCTAGTTAGATAAGTCATCTGAAAAACTATTTAAACCCTTAACTAATCAAGTTGTAAGATATTTTAGATAACAGACTAAAAATACATGTTTTAAATAAATAGTAATTTAATTGAAATAAATATCAACACTGCGAAAGTTATTCCATGTATTCCACTGTTCAATTTAGGAAATTAAGTACGTACGTCGAAGATTACAGCGGCTCGCGAGCCGCGCGACCCGGTAGCTGCACTGTACTAGGGCGCCGCCCGCCCACTGTTATTATCTGGCTGCAACGTCACTTCCGATCTCCTCTCGCCGCACCGAGGTCCACTACCGCCATCTCGACAGCGTGGCGTTCAACGTTTGAACTATCTCGAGCGAAACGACTCGAATTCTGGTGAACATTTCTTTATTTGTGTTTCGAATTGTGTTTGTCCTGAGACTTGGAAAGAACGCAACGACTAAACCTTTTCTACGTATATATTTAATAGGGCTTTAAAAATGACGCATTTTGTTTCATTACACGTTTATATACCTAATTATGACTTTATTTTGTTGGCTGTAGTAACTCAGTTCTTTTTTAAGGAATAAAGTTCTATAATTAAAGCTTCAAATATGATTATATAGTTATGACATTTGTAGTAAGTATTTTGTTATGATTTAATTACGATTAAGATGTTCCATTAATTCCTTAATATACTCCAACATATGGTCTATGAGAGTATAAAATCATGTTTCCTTGTTTGCTCAGTTATAACAAATATATGAACATCAGTTTACGTCTAAGGTTACGAGAAATAACGCGTCGGAATTTCGGTAAACCTCAGAATGTTGTTCATCTTCACATCTGTATTCCATTAGCAAATACGGTTTACCTGCTATCAAATTTTCCAATTTACCTTGACCTCCACTCCCCTCCGTGTTCTTTGTGTAATTGGATGTGATAAGGGAGATGCGATGTATTAACAAGGTTCAGAATTAACTAGCCGATGTGTAAGACGCAACGAACGCCCGAGGTGCTATCATCCAGGTAACGAGCGGAGGAAATAGGGGTGTCAGAATAGTTACGTGTTATATTTCGACATAAATCAACACTAAAATTAAACTAAAATAAACTTGGCGATGTAATAAGGTAAAGCAATTTCCTGTTACTTTTAATAACAAATTTTCTGTGTAACATGAGCGAACACTATTGTTGTATTGATAAAATTCAATAAAGAGTTATTTTTATTGCATATAAAATTATAAAAATAGTCGATTCGAGTACCAAAACTTAGTGTTAACTAATTGTTATATGTTGATTAAGCGATTTTGTAGCATTATGTACATTTATATAATACATTATGTACAAGAAATTGAAAGAATATAAGTATGAGATTTTTTCTACTGTATACGTACAGTTTGCTAAATCAGAAGGTCAAAACCTGGGTATAATTGTGTACATATACATTTAGAATTCCGTCATCCCTGATAATGAAAACATGACATCGTCGGCTTGTAATCTTGTTCGGATCGCGGGCACGAATTTCATAAATGCTCGGTCGAGTTAATGACTGAAAACATTAACTCCTCAGGGGCCTGCGTATTTACTAAGGCTTTACCTTTGGGGAACACATTTGCATATGTGACTGCTAATAAGGTAACTGTCAAGTTTGGATAACGAACAATGTGTTGAGCTTTTGAAAATATTAGCAACAGCTTACATTGTCAATAAGATTATAAGAAAACATTTTGTCATCACTCTCTTAAAGAAATAGAGATAAATAAAGTGTTTCCATGTAAGTGTTTGTGTAGAGCGTCGGTGGCTCAGGTGTCAAGCACTTGACTTGCAATCCGCAGGTCCTGGATTCGAATCCCGCCATGTACCAAAGTGTTTTTCGATTTACATATGTCCATTTATCTGACGTTCGTACGGTGAAGGAAAACATCGTGATGCAACCTGCACATATCTGAGAAGATATTCAAAGATATGCGTGAAGTCAACTAACCCGCACTAGGCCAGCGTGGTTGACTATGGCCTAATCACCCTTTACTAAGGGTAGGCTCCGAGCCCCTCGGTGGGGACGTATAGTGAGCTAATGATGATGATATAAGTGTGTTGGCAGTGAAAATGCGAGTAAAATGTTAACTTGTAAATAAAACCTCCTTTAAAAAATGGACATTTAGATATAACATAGATAAACACTTTATTGCTCACATAACAACATTCCACAAAGCAATTATTAAAAGTTTAATATATAATTTTAAGTTAGCATTAATCTGTAGTAAACTTCATTTTATAATTATACAAGGGCAGGGTCCATTACATTTAAGATACATGCAGCATTATACGGGATAAACCCTAACCCTTTTGACCCGATATCAAATATTTTATGAATACAATATGTAAACAAATATTGTAGACGTAAAGTAATAGAAGCCTAACTTCTAGATTACAGTCCCGTACCCACAGGATACGTAGATTGTTCAGAAAAGGATAATTATTAAAAGAAATGAAAAGCAATATTGATTTAGTGTGAATAACCCTACAAAAACATAATTATTCACCTTTGTATTTTGATTCTGATAACCAAGATAACGAAATGGATAACGAGATAGGATCGTGAGTGATTCGGCAATGGAAACTTTCGCTATCACTTATATTTCTAGTTTTTCTGCTTAACAGTCTATTAATTTGTATTGTTATTTTATAATATTCAATTTAAATATATAAAATAAAGCTAGTATTGCGTTTAATGACTTTAACGAAATTGTTTCAATCTCAATCTTTTTGAACTCAATTGACTTTTTATAGTCGTCATTGAAATACGAATCCTAAGGGATTCCCCAACTTCATTATTATTCACCAGTTTCCCTCATGAGAACATCGGCAATAATAAAGTTAGCCAACATTCGAGTGTACGCGGTCATTTTGAGTGTGTACACTTTCCCCCTATGTGGCTTGTCACTGGCGATTTTCATTTACGTTTTCCCTTCATTTTTGTATTCATGAATTTGAAAATACGACTAAAACATATTACTACAAGATAGAATCATATTACAAATGAACTTATGTACTTACTAATGCTATCTTTTTAATACAAAGTTTTAACTTCGAAGAAAGAAAAAATAATATTGAATTCATAACTCTGGATTTCCATAGCTGAAAACACCGATATAAGGTAAATGAATATCCCTTTTATTTTGTTGAAGCAATGGTGATGTTAATACGTTTTTCTGCAGGTGATTCAACATTGAAAGCCGACGGTTAACAATGACAATTAGCTTCACAATTGGAATAACGTAATGAACACAAAGACGTCAAACCAGACAAACGACGCTCTAATCAGTCGACTGCTTGTTCAGAGCTCGACTGGAGGACGTATAAAGGCTTTTGTGCAACTGGTGAGGCTCTTGTGACGATCAAAGATATTGATTTCAATACATTGAATCAAAGACCGCTTAATCACATAGAACAATATCTCTATTTACTATGCAATGATAATGTGGTTTGTATTTTAACATCAATAGAAAGTACATAAGTACATTTAAAGGTTTGCTATAAAATTATCTCTAAAATAATTCCTTTACCAAATGTATAACTGAGATTTTAAAATATTTTTCAGTGATTATTTTCCTTTAATTATTTTCATTAATCATTCTACAGTAAGCGTAAATAAATTATAGTACATAGTAATGAAATTCTAGTTTTTAACTTCGGGTTTACATTTAACAGATTGCTTGCGGAAATTGGTAATGAAATCTATGAGCCTACTAAGAATATTTGCGACAACCGCCATCGTATTGTCATCGACAAAATTTTAATTAAAATTTGTGTCCCCACTGGGGGAAAACACCAGAAATCTGATACAAATTTTCTCATAATCGACGATATCAACACGAAGGCGTATGTCGCAATATTCGTAGTAGGGCCACAGTTTTAAAATACGCATGCCATTGAGTCATTTGTTATGCAGACCACGTACGTGTCGCTTTGGAAAAGAGCCGGATGTGTTTGCCTACCCCAATTTAATTTAGTCAACCTCTCTGCAATTAACTAAATAGATTGCGTATACATAGTTTGAATTTGAATACATCCATTATGCAAATAATGTAACGTTTCGATATCACTGCTACTTAATTAAGTTTTGTTCTATTTTATAAAATTCAATTAAGAAATAATATTGGAAATATTTCGGGTTGCTACTGAATTGAGCTATTAAAAGTATACATGTAGCAAAATACAGTAAACAGTTTTCTTTTTTAATGAACCCTCGGCTTAAAATATTATTGGAAATTAATATAATTTTTACAACAGGTAATCCAAAAGCTAAACAACTTAAAAGATGAATAAAATATTCCATTAGTTTTTACTTAAAACACGTACTAATAGTACTTAAATAAATAAATAAAATAACATTTAATCCTGTCAATAAAACAACACAATTATCAAAAACATAATAAAATAATTATAAAGACATAATACATAAAAACATAACAATTAATAATAAAAAGGAAATATTTATAAATAGTGCAAGTGTTTACTTGAGAATTACGTATTGTGAAATATATTTTTACTTATATTTTCTCCGTCGAACAATAGAAACATCAATGTTTCTCTAAAGAATAATAATCTGACGTTAAGTATAATGTAGCAGGAAACTTTTAATTTAACTTTTCGCTTGGTAAGTGATGGATCGAGGTTGCAAGCGGACTTGCATTGCTCCTCACAACACATCCATTAGTTAAATAGCTTTTCCATCAAGATTAACTTATCAAGCTGATGTCAAACCTTGTTTTCATACAAATTTGAAGTCTATTCAAATGCTTTATCTAGAATAAAACACATAAAAGTGTTAACTTATTATAATTTTTGTTTCATCAAAAACAAGACTTTACTTTTTGCTATTGTGTTGTAATGTTTCTTTGGCCTCTTTACTATCAGCTTACTATACGTCGCCGCTGAGGAACTCGGAGCCTATTCTAAGCTATGGGTGACTAGGCCATAGTCAACCACGCTGACCTTCAGCGGATTGGTCGAGTTCACACAAATATTTGAATGTCTTCGCAAGATATGTGCAGGTTGCATCAAGATGTTTTCCTTCATCGTAATAACATCGGGTAAATGTACATATATAAATCGGAATACAAAAAACATATTCGTACATGCCGGGATTTGAACTTAGAACCTGCATATTACAAGTCAAGTTCTGAGGGAGCCGGGCGCTCTGTATTTGAACCACCTGCAGCTTAACTTGACCTGGTTATAAAGATTAAAGAGTCATAAGATTAGTATAATCACCCTTGAATTAGGGTAGGCTCCGAGCCCCTCGGTGGGGACGGATAGTGAGCTGATGATAATGATGAAGATTAGCATTCTTTTACTGTGTGTATGACACATTCAAGAGAATGATCAGTTTGTTCAATGTCCTTTTGTTTATGTACTGCTACTTATGTTTACACAATAAATATATTAGTCATAATATGAGTCATTATAACTTTTTATCGCTTGTTATCAATATGACGCTATACCTACGTGATTATTGCAACGATAATATTAAATTAATTATGTTAAATTATGTGTTTTGAGTTCATTAATTCTTTTCAGCTTTGAGTATGTTATTTTACATTAATTGAGAACAAGTTTTTTTTTGTTGAATGATAAAATAAGTAGAAAAATGTCAATAATGTAACTGCGGCGAGTCGCAAAAATTGATAAGGCATTTTACCAATAGATATTTTTGATAAGATACCATACGTTATATGTTTTCAATATATTCAACCTTTGCGTCGATTATTCATTAGTTTGTATTTTTACCTGAAGTGTTGTTCTCGACACACTACAGTATTAATTTACTCTCGTGTTTTAAGTGAGGAGTATTTAACAAAATGCAATCTGAAACTGAAAGTAAGTAATTTAAATTTACATAAATATTAAATGCTTGAAAAAAGGTAGCCAAGTATAGATATTACGCGGAGAGATAATAATCATGTGGTTTTTATTCTTTATGAAAGAACTAGTTGACTCCCGCGACTCTGTCCGCGCAAGATTAGAAAAAAGCTTAATAAAAAAATAAGTAGCCTATGTGTTCTTCCAGACTATGTCCTAGGTGTGTGCCAAATTTCATAAAAATCCGATGAACCGTTCTGAGGTACCTTCAAAGAATCATTCATCCATCTTAACATTTGAATTTATAATATTAGTAAGACAGTAAGAAGTAAGAAAAAAAATGAAGAGGTAAGATGCGACAGAATAAAAATAATATTTATAATCTTAACAAAACACACGTCATTTGGACTTCAAACAGACATATTTGTATACACGTTATGACATAATATTGTAGTTAATTTATTAAAAGTTTTTTATTACTTATTTTGTTATTTTTATATTTATTTATGATTTTGATAAACGGATTTTATTAGACATATCAAGATATCTTTGTAAAAGATTATCAGGTATTTATTTCTATTTTTATAAGTATTGTATCAAGACGTAAAAGTATGAATGTAGCAGAAGCGAAATCGAAGCCAAATGGAGGTCCGTGATCTCTGCCCACCCCTCTAGGTTACGGGTATGAGTTATGTTGTTGTTACTTAAAAAGTGACTAAATATCGATATGACGGCTTATAGAGTTATACATAAGAATACAAACAGAATACATAAGTACATAATGTGACCCTTCGTTTAAAAATGGATAGAAAGATGATGTTTAAATGTTTTTTTCAGTGAAAGAGAGAGGTGCGCCGCCACCATACTCCGACATCCCTCAAAATCCAGCACCACAAGTATTTTCACAACCAGTTCCACAAGGATTTCCACAACCAGTCATAGTAGGAACGGCGGTTGCTTACCCTGGTGCTACCGTGGTACCAGCAGGAACTACCACCATGGTGATAGGGAATCAAATGGGTTCATCACCGGCGGTATACATATGTAAATCGTGCAATAGTCAAATCATAACGAGGGTGGAAAGGAAGCCTTCACTCAGAACACATTTGTTCGCTCTCTTGTTGTGTGTTGTTGGGTAAGTTTGATTTCTTAGCATTAGTTACATAGAGGTAAATCTTATATATAATACTAGCGGACCCGACAGACGTTGTCCTATCTACACGTCTTTAATTTGAAAATTCGAATATTATTTAAAATTTGACACTGCGATGGTAGCGCCATCTGTCGGATCCAATCTAAAACATTCCAAAATCAACAACTACTAATAAATTAAAAATTAATTAAAAAACATTGTCCAGCGGACAAAATTGTGAATCTATACCATTCCCAGATCCCCTAGAACACACACAAAAAATTTCATCAAAATCGGTCCAGTCGTTTCAGAGAAGTTCAGTGACATACACACTCACAGAAGAATTATATATATATATAAAGATAATATTCTCATGTCACAATTTTTGTCTTATATGAAAACCATTCAAGCTTATTTTTTTATAAATTTATTACAGAGAATTCTTTGTCCTTGTCAAAAATAGGATGATGTGAAAGAGAAAGTTGTAATATATAATTTCAGATTGACGTAGGAATATATTCAGTTGATTATTTTTGTATTTTTAATTAAGTTTATTTAAATATTATTTATTATTATTGTGGTTTGTTATGAGGCCGTTTGAAACTTTTCTGATGATTCTAAAATTAAAACTGTTGTGTTTGTTTTCAGGTGCTGGCCACTGGTGTGTTTACCTTACTGCGTGGATACGTGCAATAATGCTGACCATTTTTGTCCTAGTTGTAACGCCTACCTCGGATCTTATTTAGGCTAACGATTTGCCAAATGTTTAGTTTGCCAAAGGTTAGGTATCAATTAACCTAATTCAAATAGACAAAGTTTTAAGCGATGTTTTATTAGTAACATCACTGTTACTAAATATAAATATATTTGAACTGAACTACTGTTTGGTCAAGCTTAGAACATTACTGTGAAATTCCACTGTCATATTGTAACCTTTATTTATTTCGAATAGAATGAAAAAGATGGCAACATAATATTGTAACAATATTTCGACAATCGAAACCCATTGTAAAATTTAATTTACTGTGGTGATTCTAGGAATCTGAGGCTGTATCACGACTGATTTGCGTTATGCGTTTTCGTAACGACATCAACAAAAAATTACAAATTTTTTATACGATATGTTGTTAGATTTCCCGAACGATCTCTCGCAAAGTTTCGTGCTTGGCGCCTTTCAAATTAGAAAGAGTAATAATATGATTTATTCTAATTTTGCTTGTGTTGTTTTAGATAAGGGCTTAATTTTTTGCTCATTCTTGAGTCAGTAAATTTTGTGTAAAATGTGGCACTGTAAGCTTTGTGTATGATAACATAGTAATGCGAAAAACGATGGTCATTTTTTTATCTGGTACGTCGCAGTGCTTTGGATAAAATTATGTTACCAGGCGTTGTGTTTTTTCTAAGCAATATCAGAGTAAATGAATTTATAATATTTATTCAGTAAAGGCAGGCAATGCATTTGTGGTTCCTCTAATGGTCCATGGGTGTTGGATCAATTAATGTTAGGCCGTTGTTCGTTCACCACCTTATCCTATATAAAAGTTAAGGACAACAAATAATTGTAAAATTGTTGTCAAATTTGAAAAAAAATACTTTTACAATGTTTGTAAATAATAAAATATGATTTTTAAGCCATGTGTTTCATTTGATATGAAAGGTCGATCAAAGGTAGGCAACGCTTATACAAATGCGTAAATCTATGGGCAACGGTCACGTCGCTATTTCAGCGATTTCAGGTGGCCGCTCATTCGTTTGCCACCTTATGATATAGAAAAAAAAAATTGATATGCTGTGTCCTTCGCAATATTCACTTAAGAATAAAAAGCCACACAAATACAAACAGATAAACAAACTATTTGACTATTGCGGAAAAAGGATATATGAGATATTGAACTAAATTCAAAGAATATGATTAACATGAACAGATATTACTTTGAAAATACTCCTAATCAAAATGCTGATAAGCTGTTTATCGATGCTTGTATCAGTAAATACCATTTAAATTTGTATGTAAATTATTTAAATACATACATACTTGTAAGCCATGGCTTAGATAATGAATTAAATGTGTAATTATCTTTAATTTCTATATGGTCATTTGATTTAACAGTGGTAAAACCCGCTTTAACATCTTCGCACGAATTGGCCCGGTTCGCCCGGTGAAATACCACGGCCACACAGAAGACAGGCGTAAAGTGGAAGCAATTCCGCGTTTCGTCTGATGAGTGTGCGTCCCGGAGGCCTCATTTAGTCCTCTTTCCCTTTCCACCTTTTTTCGTATAAGGAAAGGATGGGAAGTGGAAGTGGACTTTCCGGATGAGAGGATGCATGGAAAGGGAATATATGTATTTTCTTTATGTGCATCCTCTCCTCCGTCGATTGAAGGTAGGCAACGCATTTGCAATTGCGTGTGTCTATGGGCAGCGGTCGCTTCGCTATATCAGCGATTTCAGGTGGCCGCTCGCTCGTTTGCCACCTTATGATGTAAAAAAATATATGAAGATTCTATTTTTATTACTTTTTTGTGTAAAAAGAAAAAGAACATTTAGAGTTATTGGGAGCATCCTCATTTTTTGAAGTCGTTTAAAAAATTAAAAAAAGAGTTTTATTCTTCAGTAAACGAACCTTACTAACGTATCTTACTTTTTACTAACATTATAAAAGCGAATATTTAGATGGATGGATGGATCGATGGATAGATGTTTGTCTGAAGGTATCTCCAGAAAGGCTGAACGGATCTCGATGAAATTTGGCAAACACATAGAACAAACTCTGGAAGAACACATAAGATATTCATTATGTTTTTTTTTAATTCCGCGCGGATGCAGTCACTGGCGACAGCTAGTCAATAATATATAAAAATACAGATTGAAAATCGTTTGAATACGCACGAGTAGAGTGCGGAGATGTGAGTTACTATAAATAAACTCTTAGGGCACCTTTGTAACTATTTTTATTCTTACAAATGTGTTGTAGTCGTCATAGTAATCGTAAAGTCGATAATTCGATGCAAATTAAACAGAGCGAGATAAATATACAAAGTGTAAGGTAATACGTATAAATGTACCAGTTATCATTTATCTTATCATAGTTTCAGTAATCTCTAGCCAGTGTTGGTACAGAAACAATTTTATCGACTGACAAGAGTTTGTTTGTGAGTGCGTTAATAAAACTGTGTATCAATATTTTACTAGAAATCGACAATTTTGGCAAATGTTATAATGCAATCGAGTAGTGGATGTAAGTAAAACGCTTTAATTGTACTGTGTACTGTGGCTATATTATTTATCCGGGTTATAATGGTGTAGTGTTTTGTTTACTTGGATTTTGTTAAATGTCAGATGACGCTGCGGTAAATATTGGATATTGTGTAAATTGATAAAGATAAAATGAGGAATGGAAATAGTTATTAAGTTGATTTAGTTCGATTGTTGCTTATTTTAGTACACTAAAGGACATGTTGTGAGAATTTATTTGTGTTTTAAACTATGAATATGTTAAGAAACCCATTCTTTATGAGAATAATTATATGCCAATGTATGATGCACTCTCTTTTTGTGTCAATTTAAATAAAAGATGGCAAACAGTTCTTAATTAGGTAGCATGCTGAGATTTACGCACTATTTAATATAATTTCGACATTATGAATTTGTTCATAATGTTGTAAACGTTATATTAAGAACTTAATACAATTTCAGCTAAGAACGAGACTAGCGTTTACAATGGTACGGATACCTTCCAACAACCACCGACCGCTCCACCACCATATCCTGGGCTTCCGAACCCCGAACCACCGAACCCGGGGCCACCAAACCCAGGACCACCGTACCCTGGGACACAGCACCCGGGGCCTTATTACCCTGGTACACAGTATCCAGGCTCACAATACCCTGGACCACAGTACCACGGGCAACCGCAGTCAGAACCAACACCATACCCTCGTGTGGTACAAGGACCAAATGTGGTACATGTACAGCCTGTGATACCGACTGTGGTGGTAGGACATCGGATGGGTCCCAATTCGACGGCCTTCGTGTGTAAATCCTGCAACCATCAGATTGTCACTCGCGTGGAACGTAATGCTTCGCTAAGAACTCACTTGGTGGCGCTGTTTTTGTGTTTTGTCGGGTAATAATAACTTTGCCTATTACAAAGCTGTTCTCTTTTGCAAGATTTCCATTTTAAAATGTAGAAGAAGTAAGATAATTATAATATCGGTCATTATTCATCAGTATTTTTTTTCAGATGTTGGCCGTTTGCTTGTTTGCCGTATTGCATTGATTCCTGTAACAATGCCGATCACTATTGTACGAACTGTGGCGCATATATTGGATCATACACAGGCTGAAAGATGACCAATTCAAAAACCATATTATGGAACTTACAATAATTTAAAATAACAAATATGTGTTTGATGTATTTTAAATTAAAATAAATACACATTTGTCGCAGTTAATAATTGCAGAAATGTGTATAATATATAATTAAAATATTCGAATTAAATACGTAAAATTTCAATTGATTCAACAAATATTCTTTAATCTAAACTTTTACAATTGATTGTAACATATATGTAAATATAAATCTGTTTGTCTTTTTTTGTTGCGTTATTGTAAAATATAAATTAAAGACAATAATTGTTTAAACATGTATTTTGATTTATAAATTAAAATCGTTCTTTTTCTCATATGCGCCTAAAAAAAGTATCCGCAAATTTAGATTATGAAAATATTGCGACCAAAAAATTTATGGCAAATCAAACACATATTTTACGCACACTTATATATTTATTGAATATACAATAAAACAATATTCATAAAAGTAATTAATTTTTAATATACAAAAATATAAGACCTACTTCGAACAAATTTAAAGAAAATCAAATATGTTGGAAGTATTATAATTTGCCTCTTAGTTATTTCAAATTTGATCTATTAAGGTACCGAAAATTTTCAAGTGTATTCAATGAGATAAAGCTTGAAAGGTACAACTTTAGGTTACAGATTTTTAAACACTTTTAAAATTCAAATAAAAGGCTAAAAATCATTTGATTGTCTTGAATCTTACTAAACATCATCAATGTTGGTATGTCCCAAGGTAAGCATTGCAATTGGGACAGTAATGGTCCACGTTCTTGCAAGAATCCATACAATAAGGCACAAATGCACAAGGCAAGCATCTGAAACGATAAATATTATTTAATCGTAATCATCCGGTTATCGTTCATCGTTATTGGATCAAATTATTCATTATAACTTTCAAATATGGAATGATATCGATAAAAAGCGCAAAAAAAAGCTGAACTATCAAAAAAATTGATAAACACGTAATATTTGACAGAAAATGCCGTTTGGGCGCAACACTCTTCCCTTCAATTGTTACAATGAAAGAGATTTAATTATAAAAATAAAATTAATAACATATTACTTAATCTTTGAGCTATTTTAACATAGATTAAGTAATCATTATATACTTACACAGATACGAATAGAATGACAGCAATTAAATGTGTTTTTGCTGAGGATTTGTGTTCGATTCTCGAGACTATGGAGTTACCGCAGCTCGGACACATTTTCTGCACGGGCACGGGGCCCACTGGTGCGGATTCCATTGTGACACTGTAAAACAGATATAATAATACATTCATAATTTAAATTGAGTTTACCCATATTATTTAGATTTGGGATGGTTGACTATATAGGTACGATGACTGTAGAAATAAAAACAAGAAAAAAATGCGTCTAAACTGTATCCAGTGTCTATTCAATATATGTAATTAGTGGCATTAATTGTATATAATATAAAAGACATAGATTGCATTTAATAAATATAATCGAATTTAAATTTTAACATCAATAAATTCAAACAGAAATGTACTCAAAACTAAGAAAAAAATTAGAAAAAGAAATATGAAAAGTTATTGAGTAGTTATTTTAATTTATACCTAGATGGCGTTGTCTTCATATTAAAATAAAATATTTTTTTGAAATCATCAGCCAGATTAGAACTTTATAAAATATATTGTTCTTAATAAAAACGTAAAGTTATATTATGTGACTTTTATAGCAGGTAAAGTAAAGTTTAAAAGAGACCATAACGACGTACCCCATAAATGTTGTTGAAAAGGTGTTGAATATTTTTCCAGTAGTGGCTAAATTAGCAACCAGTAAAGGGCGTCGTTCGCAAGCGATTGATCGGCCGATTGGATGTACCTATGATATTTAAACGGTATCTCGCTTACTCATTCTTTCTATATGGTTTTAGATAACTATTTATAATCTTACTAATATTATAAATGTGAATGTTAAGATGTATGGATAGATGTCTGTTGGAAGATCTCCAGGACTGCTTACTTGCTTGCTTGCCCTTAGTAGCCTGATTTACATACAAAAGTGATTTATTTTTAATATTACTGTGTTTGCTTGATAAAATAAAATAATAATGAAATTTGTTTTTTTTTTTAATTTCGTTGGAAAGAATATTATACAACAGTAAAATAGGTACAGCCAACCTATAAAAAACTAATAACATTCGGTTTAAAAGATTGGTATCAAAATTGAAACTAGGCTAATAAGGGTAAACGGATCTGTTTTCTTTACCAGTGCTTACATCACTTCTTTCTACACATGTTTGAATATAGCTTTTCAAAAAGTTCAAAAAGTGAGGTTACTAATATTATAAATGCGAACGTTTAAATGGATGGATGGATAGATCGATGGATGTTTGTTGGAAGGTATTTTAAGTACCGCTGAACGAATCCCGACGAAATTTAACATAGATGTAGAATATAGTCTGGAAGAACACATAGGCTACTTATCATGTTTTATTTTGAATCCGCGCGGTCGGAGTCGCGGGTGACAGCTGGTATATTATGACATAGAATGTAATGAACTGTTTCGTTTCGTAATGCATACATCACATATTTTTATACAGCTTTCTAAAAAGTTCAAAGATTAATTCGTTTTTTATGTTAATTTGAATTAAAGATTATGTTGTTTAGTGTCAGGAATTTAGCCAGTACGAAAAAGGTGTGCTTAGGTCCATGTATGGGATAACAACGATGTTAATAGATTCTTCCGAATGTACAGCTTGGGTGATGTACAGGGTGGGTGGGTGGTAAATACTTGACTTGTCTACAATTAGTTAAAGTCGCAAAACCCGTGCTTTTAAATTTTTATACTTCATAAAATAGAATATTATCATAAAACTTCCCGATTTCATATATCTATCACATATAAATATTTTTATCGTTTCCGGTAATTCAAAGAGATAAGCTTTTATCTATTTTACGCATCAATTTGGCTTTTATCTATTATACACGTCACAGTTTCTTGTTACCAAGTTCACGTGTGGAAACAAATAAAATATCAAAGTCATGATAACTTTTAGCCTTTTTTTATATCATAAGGTGGCAAACGAACGAGAGGCACCTGAAATCGCTGAAATAGCGAAATGACTGTTGCCCATAGACATACGCAATTGAATATGCGTTGCCTACCTTTTATCGACAGAGGAGAGGATGTTCAGAAAGAAAATATTTTCCCTTTCCTTGCATCCTCTCACCCGGAAAGTCCACTTCCACTTCCCATCCTTTCCTTATAAGAAAAAGGGTGGGAAGGGAAATAGGACTAAATAAGGCCTCCGGGAGGCATACTCATCAGACAAAACGCGGAATTGCTTACACTTCTCGCCTGTCTTCTGTGTGGTCGTGGTATTTCACTGGGCGAGCCGGGCCAATTCGTGCGAAGATGTTAAAGCGGACTCTACTACTGTTACTAAATTGTTAATGTTTGGGATACTATGCCAGCCAAATAAGCGTGGGAGCTTTTAACGTTCTAAATGCCAGCAACAACATCAGAGGGTTTAGTCAAAATGCATTCGCTTCGAAGCGATTCCATAGCGAACTTTAAAAATGTATGGAACTGACACGCGACAATTACATGTAATTGTCGCGTGTCAGTTAAATCACAAGTTATCGAAAATTAATGTCAGTTGTATAAATTTTTGAAGTTCTCTAAGTTCTCTCTCTCTAATCGCTTCGAATGGGCCAGCTTGCCCAATGTAATACCACAACCACACAGAAGACAAGAGTGACGTAGAAGTAAGGTTATGTCTGCTGGGTGTGGGTTCTGGAGGACTAATTTTAATCCTCTTTCTCTTTCCGCCTATTAATTATACGAAAGATTGGGAAGGATGTGGATTTGATGGAGAAGGAGACGCACATGAAGGGGAAATTCATTTTACGTGGGGTCATAGTCAAGTGTTTTTTTATACCTTGTAAAAAAAGTATATATATAGTTATCAATAAAGATTAACAGTGTTTGAATTTCTCGCAAATAACATCGCGTGGATTAATCCTGGTTCATATCTGTCAGTACCGCGAAATGATATCTTGAGAGATACGAGCATCAATCGAATTATTTGTTTAACTGAGGATTTGGTTGTTTTGTATCTAATAGGTGGTTATGTATGTATAATATATGTAGAACGTGTCATTAATATTTTGGTCAAGATATTTTGGAATACATTAAATAAAAGAATTTCATTGGTAGTAGGCAATGGATGTGAAATCAGTTCTTTTCAGGAGAATATTTTAAGCAACGCCTGTTTATAAATATTTGCAAATTTTAACTATATTAAAAATTGCATGAAAACATTTCTAGGTGAATATTTTCGTTAGGAAAAGGTGATATGCAATGCATGTTTTATTACTTATTTTATTTACTTTTTTTTAAATTCGCCTTTATGGTATTGACTTAGTCATTTTTTTTTTATTGCTTTCATCTTAAATATAAAATTGTGTCACTAGCAAATATTTATTTTTTATTTGAGTGATTTAATTAAAATGTTATCTATGACGGGAAATAATAAGGAAATTAATAAAAAAAAATTAAAAAGCATGTTATAATTACAAATAATAATTGGATTAAACAATAATAAATCTTATCTTATGATTTAGACAATCCGGATGTGCGGTACTATCAGCAACTAAGGTATACCATCTTATTTACGATACGTTATCTTATGATGTAAACTGTTTTGTACACCGTATAAAAAATACCCGTGTGACGTTATTGTACTTATAAACAATTATCAGTGGATGTTATTTCAAATTAAATTACACAACATTTTAAGTACAAATGTGTGAAGTGTTCTCCTTTTAAGAAAGACTTAAACATAACGTACAGTCGACTTTGTTCGCAGTAACCAGTGAAAGGAAAATGAACGTCGTAACGGACTAATACTGTTCTCCTACTTTTAAATGCTTATTAGGTGCTGCCAATTTTTTCATTAAATAAAAAAAACAACAGTCAGTTAACCGTCGGCTTCTGAGACCTCTGTATAAAAGATATCGTAATCCCTGTCATTATCTTCTGACTTTGACTCCTGATATATTTTCTGACCCTTACAGTTTTAAGGCTTACAAGATGTTTAAATGCAAAAACGGTTTATACCTGATTTCGCTAAAATAGCGAAGATTTGGTACCCGTAGAAATTCGCAGGATGTTTAATATTTGGAGATACATAGTCTACCTTTAATGGCACGAATAGAAAGACAACATTTCTTCTTTCTTATGATGGTAGCTTTGTTCAATATAATTGTAAGTCGTTTTATTTTGATTTCTTTAGCCTACTACGTCATTTAGTAACGTTTAGTCTCAAAAAAGTGACCTTACTAACAATTGTAATTTAATTATTGTGCTAACTTTACACACGGATAAACACGGCAGCATTGGAGGCTGTAGGAACCAATTAGACGCTATAATATTAGTCTTCCTGTGTTCTTTGTAATAAACAAATAAATCTTTATTACCAGACTGACACCGTGGGTTTCTGACACTAAAAACTCCATATGAAATGTATTTTCATCCCTGTCTTTTATCTTTGACAAATCATATGTTTTAAACAGGCATTTCGGTGTCAGAAACCCACGGTGACAGGGGTAATGTTTTCGGCGTTATGAATTTATGGTCAGTTTTACATATATTGACCTCCTCTAACCTAAGCGCCTTAACCGATGTTTGTGAGTACTGTATTACCGTTATTTTCGGTATTCCCGCGAGTTTCAGCATCATAAGTCAGTCAGCGTAATTTTGTATTTATTTTATTTCAATAATACTTCTTAACGCAGTACTTACTTATTCCAAATAAAGATAGCCCACATACGTTTCGATTCTTGCCAACGTCAACAGTCTCGGCCGGTCGACCTTCACAATGCCAAGGATTTCGGCGATTCTCAGATCGCTCGTTGTATTGCTATGACTTCATACTGCCGAAGAAAAACATAACATCGCTTTCAGGTTTTTAATTAAAACTAACTGGCGCCTGCGACTCCGTCCGCGTGATATGAAATAAATAGTTTCCGGCAATTATACCAACTTTTCTCACTTTTTAAACTTCCCATAGACCTCCACGAACATTTCAAGACTAAGAAAAGATAAATCCGTTCAGCCGCTATCGAGTTTTAGCCAGACTAACGAACAGAAATTTATTTTTATATATATAGATAGGAAAGAATTATAAGATAAGGTTTTGCTTAAAACGCCTTATTTCTATGATTAGGTATGTACTTTGTAGTTATGTAAGTAATCTATATATGAACATTAATAAACACTTCCTTACATTTTCATTATCTTGTTTGTGATACTAGGAACTACTCGTATCAGAATTCTTTATTATTTCACTATCAGAGTTTCTATCATCGAAATCCGATCATAAATATTTCTATAACTTCCTTTTTAACTTGATAAGATTATAACTACTTTTATTCGCTTATATATGGAGGCAAACGAGCGAGCGGCCACCTGATTCGCTAAAATAGCGAGCTGCCCATAGACATTTGATGGGTTAGACAACGTGCATTCGCTTCGACACTAACTTTCGATAAGTGAAGTGATTGTCGCGCGTCAGTTTCATACATTTTTGAAGCTCGGAATCGATTCGAAGCGAATTATTTTGTCTAACCTCTCTGAAAAGGTTGATGGTGGAACTCATTGCTTTAGTACGGTAAAATCTTAGTAGCATTCAACGTGTCAAAACTTAAAAATATCTATATAAACCAGTGATTTAATAAAACAAAATTAAAGATTTATAATAATTTAATATAACTAATTAAGTCACTCATTTACAACGAGTTCACACTTTCAGTTTCTCTTCAAACACAATAAGAATTAAAATTCACAAGAAGAAAAAAGAAATCTTAACATTAATT